TGGCTGGGATAAATATTTAGGCGTTAAGTTTTTCGCCATTTTCGACATCAAAGAGCTTATTCGGTGCGGCGGCAACGACGAGAGGTATGCTTCTTGTTTAAAGCTGCCGACGTATAGGCTGACCCGTGATGTGTGGCGGAAGGGGTTGGCTTGGGTTTTTTTTTCTTTTCAGGGTCCGCGAGTCGCGTTTCATCTAGATGCTTTTTATTTGTATCTTTAATTATCTCATAGACAAGCTTTGATTTGGCTTTATTGGTTTGGGGGAGCTGATGGTTTATTTCGCATGTTACTATGTATACGTATACACATATATATATATATATATATTATGTCTGCATTTACGTGGTCGAACGTCTCATTTAAGATCCGATCGATTAAAGCTCTTGTCGGAGACGCGTAAGCTCCGCGAGCTGCTATTGTTATCGAGACTGTTACCAAAGTCTGGATGATGACGTCTGCTCGGGATTGATATTACTCAGGAGCGCCGCTCGAGCGCAAGAGATTGGATTTGGCTGCGGTGTGGCGCCTTGTCGTTACTTTCTCCCTTAGATTGTACGCGGGGATGCAAAATGACGGAAGCTTTCCTTTCGCGATGTCAACGGGGTCCTTGCTCTCGGCTATGGGCTTTGACTAACGAAATATGGATAATTGACGAAGATTGCTTCTCGACGAGGCAGATAAATATTCTCGAGCAAGGGTTGTTGTTTACCCTGCGAAATATATTGGATGACGGAAGCAGCGGGAGAGGGACGGAGCGGAATGGGGGGGGGGGTCGAAGAGGGTTTTTTTCGGTCTCTTTGCCGATTATTTCTTTACGCGACACTCGCGCTGATCTATGCTCGATGGCTTTTTGACTTGGCCGACAGATAACGGTGGTTATTCCGATGGAATCTTTTGTTGACATCCAAACGACAGATTCTCAGGTCTAATTGTTATTAGGGACGATCACTTTGGGGATGAGATGGGTTAGAATTAAGAGTCTTCGTCTTCGTGCTTGGGGATGACGGGGGTGGGGGGGGAGGAGGAAAACTCTCTTTTTATTTCACCCTTATCCCGACAAGAAGATAATGACCGGGACGATGCCGAAGCAAATGAGACACCCTATATAGGGTTGCACGATAAATAGCCGGCTATACTTAGCCGCCGGGATACGCGACACTTTTGACTAACAACAAGCAACCCCCCCCCT